TATGTTTGTTTTTGTTTATTTTTGGCTTTTTTTTTTTTTTTGTAAATGAATGTTCCTTTTTGTTCACAAAGCTTGGAATTGTATTTCAATATTGCCAATACTTTTCACAGAAGAGAATATATCAAGTGAGAAAACACATATACACCATCCTATATACAATGACATATCCTATTTTTTTCCCACATGGTGAAAAAGGCTGGGGAACAGATATTGCATTAAGACTCAGAGACAACAGTGTAATCGACAATAATACTAGACAAAATGTAAGGACACGAGTCACACAAATGCAGTATTATGGATTTCATTTCTCTGTTCAGGACATGTTTAATCCTATTTTAAATGCAGGAAAATTAATTCAACATTTTATCGTGGATTCGTATTCAAAAATGGAGGCCATTTGGATAAATTTCATCAAAGCAAATCAATCTAAGTTGAGAGTTGAAAAATATAGTGGTTTCATGGATTATCTCAAATCTAGATCTGAAAATGACAATGTGCTGACTGGTAAAATAATAATACTTCCATCATCTTCTGAGGGTAGTCCCAGTAATATGCAGCAGCAATATCAGGAAGCTATGGCAATTGTAACGAAGTATGGCAAGCCCGATTTATTCGTAACCATGACATGCAACCCCAAATGGGCAGATATTGCAAACAATTTATGATGCTGTCAAAAAGTTGAAAACAGACCTGACTTGGTAGCCGGAGTTTTTAATATTAAGCTGAGTGCTCTTTTAAATGATATCTGTAAATTCCATTTATTTGGCAAAGTAATAGCTAAAATTCATGTCATTGAATTTCAGAAATGCAGACTGCCTCACATTTACATATTATTGATATTAGATAGTGAGTCCAAATTACATTCCTCTAATTAATTCCCTTTCAATGTGCACAATTTCGTGCACCAGGCCACTAGTAAAAATATTTTTATTGCTGATAGTATTACAGATATCTCCCCTTCCCTTCTGCCGCCCCAGCTCCTACTCCCTCCCCACCCCAGGTCTTCACTACCCTATTCAGTTGGCTCATTTCACCCTAATGACAATCTGTCTCCTCTTTGATGTTTGCATGCCATTCACTTTCGTTTTTCTCCTTCCCTCCAGAAGTCGGCCACTTGTGGATCTCCACCTTGAACTGAATAGCAATATGTATGACTGGAACCGTGGAGTACCTGATAAGGAGAAGTACCACGTCTTGCTGCAGCATACTCTGAGAAAGAAACTCTTTCTCTCTTGCAAATGAAAAGCCAAAGACTGATGAGCAGGTGTGGCTCAGTTAGTAGAGTGTCATCTCATGCACAGGAAGTTGACAATTAGGTTCCCAGTCAGGGCACATGCCTAGGTTGCAGGCTTTATCCCTAGGTGGGGCAGTGGGAGGCAGCCAATCTACGTTTCTATCTCTCTATCTCTGAAATCAATAATCAAAACACATCTATATATATAAAAGCCTAAGCGACCATCGCAACCAAATGGATAACCAGGCCGGCAGGAGTGTTAGTGAGGGCCGACCAAAGATGGTGGTGACCACAGCCAATAAGGAGGGAATATGCTAATTGACTGCCACGCCCTCAAAGATGGTGGTGCCCACAACCATAAGATGGCCAGCAGGGGAGGGCAGCTGTGGGCGATCTGGCCGGCAGGGGAGCAGTTAGGTGTCAATCAGGCTGGCAGAGGGGTAGTTAGGGGGTGATCAGGTTGGCAGGCAGAAGCAGTTAGGGGCAATCAGGCAGACAGGCAGGCGAGCAGTTAGGAGCCAGCAGTCCTGGATTGTGAGAGGGATGTCCCAGGTTGGAGAAGGTGCAGGCTGGGCTGAGGGACAACCTCCAGTGCACGAATTTTGTGCACCGGGCCTCTAGTTTTAAAAGAAAATCCAAAGACCTTTCTTTAGTCCTGCACTCTCTATCACTAGCCAGAGAATAGCTTTCAAGCGAATGTCCATGAGGTGGGAGAAGAAGCCCTGGCTGGTGTAGAGATGGCCCTCTGAGAGGCATGTTGGAGGGGAGGAGTATTTGACTAGAGCTGGGAGGGGAAGGCCTTGGGTGCTGTTGCTGAAACAGCTTCTCAGTCAGTGTTGGGAAGGAAAAGAGCTTTGAAACTTAAAAACTGAGTTGAATTTAGAAACTGAATTGGGCATCTCAGGATTATGTTGCTTTCCATGATAGCGATTAAGTCAAGCACCAATCAAAAGCCATAGAGAGCCTTCTTCTTTTTTTTAAATTAAATCTTTATTGTTCAGATTATTACAGTTGTTGCT